GTTGGGGTCTGACTGACATGTTGGAGAAAATTTTCCTGTTCACTAAAAAGATTATTTTATGTTATCTTTTTAACAGAAACAAGAGCATTTTGTTTTACTTTAATGTGTTGAGATGTGCCAGTCCTACCGTGATGATAAACCTACAGTGTCCTACCACACAGGTAAGGAAAAAGACGCCTTGCTGGTGGTATTAAAAATTTCTGGCATCCTTGAATGAAAGAATTTGGAAATTCTGAGTTCTGTGTATGTACAGTGGGAAGACATAAGTATGACCTCTTATTTGTTCATAGACTATCAAAACTCAGTAGAGATGAATAATTTTATAATCACTAAAGGACCTCAACCATTATCTTATATAATGATCTCCTTTTCTATATAAATTACTGCCCCCCAAAAGTAGATGTACACTGCTCAAGATCAATAACTACTATAATTAATAAACTCCAGTTTTTCAGTAATTTAATACAGTACTGTTTATTTTTTGACCATATAACAGTACAAGGCAGGTGTTCATGATCAGTGGGCTACTCTCCAAATCCCTTTCGGTTCCCTGAAAGATTTTTTGAAATTTTATTTCTGCTGAGACTAAAGCCCGCTGGGGATTTTGGCATCTTACTTCTGTGACCACCTCTATCTACTTTAAAGTTCAAATTCTTGACCTTGTCAGTACCAAAAATTACTACCCTTTGTAATCTCAATTCCAATCCCATGGTCTAATCATTTCAATCTCAAACATTCTAACTCCAGCGATTCTTTTACCTCACTAGAACCTACAAATCACTGATCCTTACCACTTCAAAGTGTCCTTCAGTAACCTCATGCTTTGATCGCCTTCTTTACCTGACTTAGATTCCATAATTTATTTTATTTTTTTTTGCGCTCAGTGTTTCATTTAATGATGACAGAATAATGATGTCTTTTGTTAGATTAGGATATAAATGTGCAAATGATTTGTATTAGAATTAGTATTTCTAATTAAATACGAAGAAACCTGAAGAGATTTCATACAGGTACAGAAAATAACACTCCTTGAAATGCAGTTTGATCTACTAAATTGTGTATAACTAATTTTCACAGATAATCTAGCCCTTTTCTCTCCTGTTCCTAAAACATGCTTAATCAATACAATGCAGTCTTGGAAAGAATGGAAATACCATTAACTGGACTAGAAAATTGAGTCTAAAGCAGTGTTATATTTGAAGGTCTATCTAATCCTTCAGTGGAATACCAGGAGTATGTACCCTTCCATGCCCTTTAAAGGAGAATTTGGCATGGAAGGTAGTTATGTGGTAAGGTACAAGTAGTAGCTATATTGGAAAGAATTATGAAAGACAGATTGGAGTGTTAGTCAGCTTTCCACTACGGTAAGTAGTATCTGAAATGAGATTCCATAATTTAGAATATAAAATCATACCCTTATATACACCTTCATTTCCTTTGTCCTTTCTTGCTTAGGTGTACTTTCCTGGCAAAACATCACCCCTGGTTGAATATAGCTCTCTGCCTAGTCCATGTCTGAAGCCAGCTAGCTAGGTGTTCTAGGAAAAATACACAGCACTCTTTTAAATTCAGGACCTAATTTCAAGTCATGCTTATGTCATACTGACCATCTGCTATTCTTCAAAGGATGCAACAGCCCCTGCCTCTGACCCTGCGATTTTGTTCTTCCCATTGCCTAGAGTACTCCTCCTCCAGATGTCTGCGTGGTTTGATCATCAATCTTCCAGTCTTTCTGCAAAGGTTATCTCCTTAGTGTGACTGCTCTACTTAAAATTGGAATCTCACCCAGTCACCCCTCTCTCTAACCTCCTTTCTAATCTTCAGCCGTTCCCCCACCAGAGCATTTATTACTATCCTATGATAAACATTTCTATTTGTTATCTGTCCCCCTACTAGAAGAGAAACAGCTTGAGGGTAAAGATTTTTTATCTGCTTTGTTCACTATTGTGCTCCCAGTGCCTAGAACAGGCTTAGGTAGGCAGTCAGTAAATATTTATAGAATACATGAATTAATAAATGAGTGCTTGACTATCTTCTTAGTCTTAGTTAAGGAATTTTTCCACTGTCTATTCAAGTCTATTGTTCGTATAATAAAATGTTTAAGACATCTTGCACATTATGTTTATTTGTTATGTTACATGGGTGACTTACTAGCTCTTCATTTCTTCATAACAAATATAGTGTTTTAATCCTCAATATAATTCACTCTCTCCTAGCCACCAATCCTAATTTATATTAGAATGTTAAACCTATCTGAATTGAATATAAGAACTAAATTCAAAGTGCCCCTGGTGGTACACAGAGAATCAGAATTGAGTCAGCTGATATATTTCAGCTGCCAATAATACAGCCTTGCATTTAGTCTGCATGCAATGGTGTATCTACTGATCTGAGTCCTATTTTTATGCATTATGTTTTTGTTAACTGCCATCATGGTCCAGACATGTGTCACAAACACTTGAAGGACAAACTGTGATCAATTAGGATACACAACCTCAATGTGACCTTCATTTGTGGCTAATGATATGTTGATTGCTACTAATCAGCACCCTATTTGAAGTGAACAAATTGGTCTGATAGAGGAAAAGAGCAAAGAGCAGTTTTTACATTGTTTTTTTAATAGCTCATTTATGTCTGGAGTGAGATTTGATGTGGTTCTCTTTAACAAACCACTTTTTAACCAATCTATGTTGCATTTTCATATGTGTGTGTACATCGTGTGTGTATGTGTGTGTGTGTGTGTGTGTGTGTGTAAGTATAGACATTGTCATGGTTCCAAAAACAGTTCCTATTATCATATGAAACCTATGAAAACTTTTGTTACTCACTTTTATAAATCCACTGAAATATGTCCAACAGGGGGCCTGGTTCACTTGTCTTTCAATATCTTCAAGTAAATAGAAGATATGTCCTTATGTCAGATATGTCAGATATGTCCTTATAGGTTAATGATTTATTCAACTTAGCTCCAGTCAGAATGAACTTTTGACATTTGCACTGTTGATAAACTTAACCGTCTTCCAAAACAAATAGGGCACGTTGGATCTTGTGAATATCCCCATATTGTTATTTAGCTTTTTAGATAGAAGCTTGTAGACCTTTAATATTTTCTCTTGACGGGTGTGTATGCGTGAGTGTGTGTTTGTGTGTGTGTGTGTGTGTGTGTGTGTGTGTGTAATGAGACAATTCGAGAAAATACATATTGAGGAGTGAATGTGGAAACTGGGTGTTTACTTTGTCAAACTTCTAGAAGACATTGGATACCTACTGTGCTTAAGACAGTATTAACTGTGAGATTTGAGGAACTCATTTAATGTCCTACTAATTTAGCTGTGAGGTCAACACTCAATGTCCTGTGTATAGTAGAAACATGACCCTAAACATGGAAAAGAACTCTCAGCTCAATAGCAGTGTTTTGCCTAACTGCCAATAGGGTTCAGACAATAACAATTACAGAAGGAAGATGGAGCGAGTCAGGACTGGGGAGGATTTCACAAGAGGAACTGAATTGATGGAGAGATGTGGATAGTTGACTGCAGCTGACACAGTTTAATATTACTGCTTTTTTATTAATAAGTATATCACTATATAATATCTTCTTGTCTTAACACAACATTAATGTCAGAGGGCAGGGAATAGGGACTGGTAATTCTGTAGAGTATTTAATTTTTTACAATATGACTAGAAAATTCATTTAAGTTCCTTATATATAAAAGAGTACTTTGCTCTTTATTCTGGAGGCTAATGTAGAAGTCTGACCTAATAGATACTTTCTTGGTTTGCTCTCAATTCTTTTCCCATCATTATGTTCCTTTTCTTCATAGATCTGTGTCTCTAGGTGCCCAGAAAAATTTTTAACCTATATGGAAATGCAACTTTTGTACGGAAAAGACAGAAGCTACTGGGAGTACTATAGGCAATTTTGCAAGCCCACTGCTGAGCCTGAAAAGGTATGTGGTAAACTTACAGCTAATGACAAATTTAACTTGTGTTTCAGTATCAAATATAACATGGACATTTGTTACTGGACAAGTTTGCAAATCTAGGAAGTGATTACTAAAGACATTAAATCACAAATGCACATGTGCACTCACAAAAACACACACGAATGACAGTGTATCACTGTGTAGACTTGGCTTGTTATGAAAGACTGTTAAAACCGGTACATTAGCTTCAACTGTTTCCTGACACCAACAAATTCTCCACATGGATGGATTTTTGTTTTGTTTCATTTTTTGCTGTTAAGAGCTAGGATTTAATGTCACCCACAGTCACCATATCATTAATGTGGGGATGAAACCCCATGGCAACTCAGTAACAAGAAGAATTTTACTCCAACCTAGTCCAGTAACTACTTATTTAAGATATAAAAATCAAACCCCTACTTAAGTTTCAGATTTATAAGGGATTTCTAAAACCTCATTATGTTAAATAATATTAATGGCTGTTAACATTAGAAAAGATGCTATTTTTCCATTAAAACAGTGAAAGACCAGAGACTTAAGACAAAGAGCGATACCTTCACAGATAAGCCTTTGGCTTCAGAGGATCTGGCTTTATTACTGTTGACTCAATTAGAGCATTTAAAAGAGTTTTGTCAAACAAGAATTTGTGTGCAATAATCTTACAACTGCTAGCATTGGGAGAAGTGATTTGGAATAATGATATTTATGGAGGCAAATTTTTAAAGGACAAAATTTTTATATTGAGAGTGAAAATAGTCATCACATAGCCTTTGCAATGTTAACATTCTTTCCTTCTGTTTTAGTCTATCACAGAAGTTTTACTAGATGGTGACTGTCCAACAGCAGTTTTTCCAAGCAGACCTTGTAAGTGGTAATTATTTCTCCTTGGAAACACAGAAGCTAGCAATAGTTAATCAAGTTTCCTTATTTCACAGTTAATAAACTGAGGCTAAGAACGGTGCTATGACTGGCCCAAGGTCCTAGAGTTAATTAGGAGGAAAGAATAGGTAAAGCCCATTTCCTGATGTCAGTCAGGGATATTCCAAATGGAGCTCTGGGAGATTTGGGGTTTTGCTACATAAGCACACAAGAAAAAGGCTGAAAATTGATTTTAAAAAGCCAATCACTTAAATACAATCATGCACACCCACTCCCACTCCTGGATTCAGCAAAAAAGTTTGTTTGGAATTGCCTGTTGGCATGTAAAATATTTATATGCCTTGGTAATGAATCAATATTTTCTTTCTTTAAAAATTTAAACTGTACTTAAAAAGTTTCTCTGTTTAGAAAAAAAATGATACAAGCACTCATTTTCCTTTCATAAGGATATAATCCTAACTGTAGAAACTTTGCCTAAAGAGGTCCATTATAGTGTTCAAAGTAACAACAACAAAAAAACCCAAAAAACAATGACAGATAAAAGGAAAAAAGAATCACTGTAATATGAAAGAATAAAAGAACATTTAAATAATATAATGCATTAGTTAAATGAATATTTTAGAATTATTAAATATAAATATAATAATATACATATGTATATGTTGTATTGTTAAATAAAATGCAAATCAATAAATATATTATAATGGCCAGCATGTAGAAATTAAAATGAACAGAAAAACTATTCAAAGAAAAAGATCAGAAAGAAATATACCAAAATATTAAAACTTTATTTAGAGAGTAACAGAACTGTAGGATTTTCCCTCTTCTTTTTCATATTTTCCATTTTCCACAATAAGTATATATTTCTTTTTAAATAGAAGGAAGATAATAGCAGTCAGTTTAAGGAGAAAATCAAATACATTGAAGTAGCTGCCACCAAATACATGATTAAATGTTCCCATCACCCTTGTCTGCATAATTAAAGATCCTGAAGCAAAGATATAGGTCCTGCAAACAACAGCACTAACTTGAAAGCCCTCATCAACAGCTGTTAGTAGTCAAGAATAATGTTAAAATTTTTATAGAAAAAGGTGAAAATAAATTGTCAGTCCCATGAAAGATTTAGTAGGTGTAAAATTGTAAGACATAGTTCCTGCCCTTATAAGTATAGTTTGGTTAAATCACTCAATATAGAATTGAGGTTGCAAAAATTAGTAAGGCATCGTGTCTCACAGTCTGATGAGAGAGATATTAAAATAAAAATTGCAATCAACTTGTACTCTTCTCTTTTCATGGTATTGGGATTGAACCTGGGGCACTCTACCACTTGGGCTGTGTCCCTTTTGTTTTCAAGATAGTATCTCTCACTAACTTTGCCCAGGCTGTCTTGGAATTCATAATCTCATGGTCTCCTGCCTCCACCTCCTGGAGAGCTGAGCTTACATGTGTGGACCAGCACACCTGGCTAACTTGCATTCTTCTTAATAAGGCATCAAGTGTAGTACTCAAGGGAATATTATGCAACTAATAGAATTTACTCAGTAAACAATTTATAGAGGAAATAAGTAATATTAAGAGAATGAAAGAAGTGGAAAAAAACCTGTACATTCATATGATTTTGATATTCTAAGGGAAGCAACTGTTGAAGAAAGACTGGAAGGAAATTTATCAAAATGTTAATACTGTTCACTATGGATGGCAGGACCATACATAGTTTTGTATCTTCTTTCATATTTTCTCTACTTTTCAAACACACAGTGTGCATATTAAGTCATAGAAGCAGCTTGGATGAGATTGCCCAGAAATAACATGTGGAACAAGGTCAGGGGACCGTCTAGATGGGAACACAGGGACAGAATGCTCAAAAGGAAAGGAGGACAAGAGAGAATCTGATCTCATTCAAGTCAAAGAAAGAGTTTCACAAAGGCAGGAGGTATTTACTATGTCAGAGGCTCAGAAAAGAGCTCGATTGTGTGCCAACCATCAAGTTCTAGCATAGGATGAAGTTATTGGGGTCACTGGGAGGACAATTTCCATGGAAGGGGGCAGAAATCTGATTGGATTGAGAGCAAGCAGAAATAGCTGGTAGAGTATCAAGTTTGCCACTGAAAGGAAGGGAAAAGCAGAAGAAAAACTGGGTGATGCTGAAGGAATCAGCCATTATAAAAGAACTACAGAAGCTGGAGGTGGGGGTCTGGAGGTGTGGCTCAGGTGGTGGAGCACTTGCTTTGCAGAGCCTTGAGTTCAAACACCAGTTCCACCAAAAACAAACAAACAAACAAAAAGTGCTGATATCCAGAAGCCGAAGGTGGGTGGGCAAGAGAACCATAAAACTCAGGAAAGGTTTTATAAGGACATGTTTCTTCTTTCCTTATTTCAACTGCTTTAATATTTTCAGTTTCAAATTCCATGTGAAAATCAATGATGCTGCAAACAAGAAAAATATGAAAATTGCCCATTTCTGATTTCTCTTACCTCTTCATTTAAAATTGGGTTTTATGACTGTGGGTGGGGGGACTCAAGTGGTAGAGCACTTGCTTAGCAGGCATGAGATCCTAAATTCAATCCCTAGTGCGATAAAATTAAATAAATAAATAAAATTTAAGGTAATATATTTATAAATTGACAAGGATTCTGTTTAAAGGCTGTAAAGAAGGCAAGTTATTAAGAACTCATGAACAAAAAGCTTGAGTTTGATCTTATTTTATAAGGAATTTATTCACTAATCTATAGTTTCTAAGGTCTCATTCAAGGAATATCTAAGTTTTTTTTTTTTTTAAATAACAATCCTAAACTCATCCAGTCACACAAGTGAATGTGGCTTTTCTACTGAAGTGTGTTCACGAGGAGTGATACATATTTGTGTCATGCCATGCCTCTTATTTTTGGCAATTTGATGACTATATCATGTGTAAAAGAGTTAACAGGTATAGAATTTAGTTTTAGATTGTGATCATATTTGCTTCCTATAACAGTCCTAAGAGCATTGGAAAATCTATAAATCATTAAATAAAGGGCAAAAGGCTATCTGTATCAACCAATTTTTATACCTAGCAAGAATTTGATTATAAATAACAGGAAGCTTAAGAAAGGAAGACATCATGGAAGGAGTAGAAAAGTGATTACTGTAACTTTAATTTACTTTTTACAGTTCTTCAGAGATGTTTCCCTGACTTCTCTACCAAAAATGGCACTTTAACAGTAGCAAATAAGACCCTGTTTGAAGATGGAAGTGGAAATACAAGAAATGTTTTAGAACTCAGGGAAGCTGCAGAGTATGTTTGTTTACATTTCTATTTTCGTTTTTGTTGCATTCTGTTATTGTGCCCAGTATTTAAGCTCTGAGGAGTTCAGGGTTTGTAGGAAAAGAATTATATGTTATTATGAAATACACATGTTACTCTAGATTGAAGAATTTGGTATATATTCATTAAGGATAGCATGGAAAGAATCCAGAATGACTTAGAAAGAACATGATGCTTTTTAAATGGTTAAAACTTTGATTGTGAATAGGAATAGAAATGTCATATAAGGAAATGCATTGGTGCAATATCAAAATTTTATATGCTAGCTATAATGCAGTAAATTTACCATTTCTTTTGGCTGTACATACATAGCACTCTACATTATTGAGAAATATCTCTCCCTGGATGCACACATACATTCAGGTGTACACAGACATAAATAATCATAGAGTAACACTGCATAGTTCACTTGTTAAAGTAAAAATAAAAACGAGAGATATTCTAAAAAAATATTTCTCTTTCTTAAAAGACGTTAGCATTACAGGTGGAATAGCACAGCTCCTGCATATTTAGAATATAATAATAATGTGTGTGAATTTCAGGAATGTAAAGTTGTGTGAAAGAAATCATAAATGATAATACAAGAAAGATTCCATTCCTATAAAATTCAAAAAGCACAACTGAATTAAATTGCCTTGTAATGCATGCATATGGGCTAATTTTTTTAATCTTAGAAAATTATTATTATAAAGTCTGGATAGTGGTTCCTTTAAGGGAAGTGTTACAATTGGAACACCTGGGGAAGGTCTGTCAGTGGTGTATTTGTATGAGAGTGTTCACTGTGATAATTCTTTCAAATTGGACATCAATAATTTGTGCACTTTTGGTATGCACACCAGCATACAACTTATTACTACAGGGTTGTCAGAGGAGTAGGAAGGGGAATTTAAAGGATGTACATTCTCAACTCTATGGATTTGGTAAATTAAAAGCTGATCTTATCATTTACTAATTGCAATGAGGTTTCTGCAATATTGAGGCCATATTGTACACACTGGAGAATGATCTGTTCACTGTTTCTGAAATCCAAGTTCTCTGTGTGTGCAGCTATAACCATCTTTGCAAGCTTATCTGCTTTTTCAGACTTACTGAAGTGACATTTTATATATTGTTGTAGCCAGAAAAGAGTCACTACTGCTAGAAGGCTTCTAAACCATGCTTTTAACAGCAGCTTGAAAAAAAATCTCTTTTATAATAAGAACATTTCTTTTTAATGTGAGTTAGAAAATAATTAAATTTCCTTCTTTGAATTCAGTGGCATCAATAAAATCCTTGATGCAAGGACTATTGGAATGAAAGTCTTTGAAGACTATGCAACGACCTGGTATTGGATTCTCTTGTAAGTGAAAACAGATAAGTGTTTCTTCAGTCCCCTTCTGATTTTATCTTTGTAGAACATTTCTTCAAATTCCTTGTTCTTATGTTGGGTAAAAGGTTGATTCAGATCTCAGTTAGTGCCATTTTTTTTTAGGTGGGGTAGGTGTTAGGCAAAGGCATTTGGAAATATGTCCAGTGTTAGCAGAAAATTATAAGAATGTAAATTTTAATTGTATATATTAAATTACTAATAAGAGTACTTATACATTTCAAGCCCCCTGCAGCAGTATCTGAAGTACTTCTCTATCTGTGGCACCTGCGACTCCTCACATGTTGCAGTGGACAGACATGATATTATTTCTCTGGGTCTTTTATTTCTTTGTCCCTCCCTCGGCCTCCAAAGGGTCATTCCTATTTTTTAGGAATAGGAATGATCATTTCCCCATAATTATTGATATCATCATCCTTAAAGGTCTTTGTAGTTATGGGAAACTGAAAAGGTATACGGAAGAGCAGATTTTTAATTTTCAGGAATAGATTTGCATTCCTATAATGTTAAGTAAATGGAGTCACTCTACTGAAGTAGGTAAATGTGTTTGAGATATCTATGACTGTCATTGACCATCTGGATCTCATGTCACTTTCTAGAGTTTAGAAGCTTCTTTGAGTCTCTAGTGACCAAAGAATAAAGTTAAAAAAAATTAGATACTTCCAAGGCCCTTTACAACCTCTTCTAACTTAGTTTTCAAATTCATCTCTGTGTTTTTTATTAACTTACATGTTCTTAAGGTATCAAATAATGTGCCCATTGTTAAGACCATCAAACCCTGTGTTGTTGCAAATTCTGTTCCGTGTCCTGGTGTATCCTTCTCTGAGTCTTAGGCAACTCTATTCCTCTTTTAAAATGAGTTTAGTACCACTTCTCTTCCCCAAATAAATTATTGCTTCCTGTTTTCCTTGCACCAGTTATGTGTGTGTATACATGCTTCTGCATACACAAATCTGTGGATATTCTATATAGCACCTACTATTCTTTATTTACATGGCTCTTTTCCTCTTATAAACTGTCAATTCTTTATGGTGATAGCAATGCATCACTCTTGTTTTATTTTTCCTAACTCTTGGCATAGTTTTTGGAACATCATAGATACACACACAAAAAAAAAATATGGGATTAAGGAACAGTTATAAAATTACCAGGGAAAATTAAGATAGGTTTCATGTATTTAATTGAATGGAACTTAATGGGGTTGAAATTGTATTGTGTGTGAAATACACAATACACAAAATGAGATCATTTTATGAGATTTTGCTTATTTTAAGGCTTAGTCTTCAACAATTCCAATAATTATTTTTAATGTGTTAGAATATATCTTCATAGCAGAGATGTGGTCTATACTTGAAAGTTAGAACTTTTGTGAAATAATTTCAAACACAAACAGCTTTCTTTCCCCACGCCAATTTTTTTTTTTAAGTTGGAGCATTGTGCTTGCACTTGAGCCATTCCTCCAGTCCTTTTTGCTCTGGTTATTTTGGAGATAGTGTCTTGGTTTTTGCCAGGTTGGGCTGGACCACAATTCTGTTTTATGATTCCTGCCAAAGCTGGGATGACAGGTGTGTGGAACCATGCCCAGTTTGTCCTGTTGAGATGGGGGTCTCAGAGACTTTTTGATCTAGACTGCCTTGGAACCATGATCCTCTTGATCTCAGCCTTCCATGTAGGCTGTGATGACAGGTGCATGCCACTGTGCCCAGCTATTGGTTGAGAAGGGGTCTTGTGAATTTTTGCTCAGGCTTGTCTGGAACCACAATCCTCCTAATCTCATCTTCCCAAGTAGCTAGGATTATAGGCACGAGCCACCAGCAGCCAGTCCTACTTCAAACTTTTAAACATTCCTCTTGTACTATGCTATAGAAGCATCCTTCAACCATATTATACTGTTAAGCATTAAAATATCTGTAATTTTAAGATGGAATGGCTTTTTAAGTTAAAAACTTAGACTATAAGACTTTGACCTGAGATGACACTTTGATACTTTGCTATCATCTATCCAATGACAGTAATTATTGAATTGTTTTTAAAGATCGCACTTGAGACCATAAATTCAATAAATACACCAGGCTTTGTCTGTTGCTATGACTGGAAACTTGTAGATGTCAGTTCTTATAGAAGAGTCAGTCAAGTTTCCAATCTTATTGCATTCTCTTTGAAGAAATTGTATCTGAAGACTCCATTGTGACCTTAACCTGGACATATTGAGGGTGTTGGCAGGGGTTAGGGCAGAGGAGTTCCTCTAGTAGCTCAAATTCTAGCAAGAAATTAAAACATACAGAAAATAGTCATGCTGTTGATTGCTTAATAAAGTCACATGGCCCAGGAGACACAGAACTTTGTTATGGCTCCAAATAAAGGGCCACAGATCACTAGGAATCTGAAATATATGTCTGGTGATGTTAGGCATAACAGACTACTCAAAATAATTAAACCATAGTAGTAATGACTACAAAATCAGCCAAGAACTGTGTGGCCAGTTATTTTTCTCACCCTCCTGCCTTGAGTCTGCTCCCTGTACTTCTAGACAACCATGCTGTAGAAAATTTCCATTAGTCATCAGACAGAGAGAACAGCACAAATTTATCATAGATATATGTTATAATTTATCACCTAGTAGGAAGGTGTGGAGAAAAAAATAAGATATAACAACTGTGGCAGGTAGTTCAAAATTGTAGACTGGAGTAATTGTATTTTTCTTTTGAACAATGATTGATATGCTACTTATGTTTATCTAGGCACACAATAATGTCTTATATATAAAGTTCCTGAGGACCCTGCTCTTTCTTCTTAAAGTCTTAATGAAAACCATTGTTTATACTATTAAGCATTGTATGCTTCTATGATCAGGTAAAATAAATAATCTCAAAATTATTTTGAATATAAGGAAGTCTTGCTATTGTTATGATGTTTATGCTTGTCATACTTAACTTCTGTGTTTCTTGTGGGTTTTGCCCTCTAGTGGCCTGACTATTGCCATGATCCTTAGTTGGTTATTTTTGATACTACTGAGGTTCACAGCTGGAATCCTCTTCTGGATCTTCATGTTTGGTGTGCTTGGAATTATAGCCTATGGTAGGTATCATACTTCTTAAAATTGCTGAATATCAGAATAATCTTTATTTTAATTTGCCATTATCAATTACAAGGAAGCATCTACTTGCCTTGAATTTAATTATTTTCCTGTCAAATTGTTAAATTTATAAAAATTATTTTTAATTTTGCATGTATTGTCTCTATAACTTTTTTCTTCATTGTCTTGAAAAGAAGTGCTATTAAAATGGTCTTATGCTTCATGAGTATAAAGGAGGAGGTAAAAAGAATCCTTCTAGATTAATGAAAAACATTTCAGACAATTTCTTTTATTGCTTTTAACTTTTCTGTCTGATTAGAGACCAAGTGTGCAAGTAGTGTGATCTATTTTTCTCTTTCAATTTAGATAGTACTTTTAATAACTGGTGCTTCATAATGAGGTATCACCCTCTAGAGGCAAGTACTCTGAATTACATTCACTGGATAGAGAGTTACTTTATTTCAAGGTTGAATCTAGCCACAAACTTAATGCCCCCAGAGCTGTATAGGTCAGGTACAATGTGAGCATTAATTAAGTATCTATGGGATGACACACCACTTATGGCAGCTTTCTTTCAGTCCCCTAAAAAGAGTATGGGCCAGCATAGGAGTGTTGAGATTGTTGTGTTGTTTCCTCCACAACACAATTTGGATTGACAAAACAGTTTCATAACAATCTCCTCTTTCTGTGCTTCAAAGAAGAGCTTTACATGTATTAGGGTAAGAATGCAGTTGGAACTGGAAATTAGCTGGGCTGTAACCTAGGTCCATATTATAGACTGGATAACTATGATAAAGTTTATTAATGATTTGAGGACCAGCTTCTTTTTCTATAACATCAGCACAATAAAGGTACCTCCATCTGAGAAAATAGGAAGAATTAAAGAGGACAGTGAGTGTGCAACTATTAGAAGAGTGCATAGGATGCAGTAAATGATTATCACTTGTTGGGTAATTGTTGTTATTATCCTCCTGATTGTCTTCAAGGAGTTCCTAGTAAATACTTCAGATCTCCTTGGGTATTCTACACCTGCCCCGGCTATAACTGCTTATGGATCCTACATGGTATTCCTACTGAGAATAGCCGTATTAACAGATTAGAAGTGTGTCAGTGTGTTACAGCCTGGTGGAAGAACACAAGAACTGCTGTCTCCTATTCAAAAACTTCACAGAAAGCTTTTTGTTTAAAAGTCTTAATTTTGTGTTCCTACTTGGAGCTCTAAATAACCCTGGCCCTTTGCCACTGGAGAGTCTAAGCAAGTGATTCAGTCTTTCTTTAATCATCACAAGAAGGAAAGGGAAATAAAGTCTGCTGTTAACTTCAGGGACTTGTCTTAAGCAGTAAAAGGAATCTGTGGTTGGCTATGTTGCAACTTTGACAATGGAAAAGGGAGAAAGATGGTCAGTATATGAAAAGTACAGATAAAATAATCAATTTCAGTTCCCCATTGCCTCCCTAGGTACTGCTAACCCAGAAATTAATCATGTAGCAATTAAGCTTGAAGCTATTTGTGGTGAGGAAATGTCAAATTAAGTCAGGAACTGTAACTAAATAAAACTGAATATAACTGACCTCTGCTACTGTCTTGAATATCTGATTTTCTACATATCATGGGAAGCCAACCATTTCCTATTGACAGCAGCCCATTTACTAGGGCATAAAATAACATGGATGTGCCCTCAAGAGCAGAAAAAACCCAGACCTTTGTGGATAGGAGGGAAGCAATTCTCATTGAGCAGAAGAAGAGTTCCATGGAAGAGGCGCAGAACTCTGTGAAAATGAATGTGAATCTGGAGTTTGAAAAAGGAACAATCCCACATGTGAACATTTTAACTATGTGATCCTTACTAGTAGTCCCTCTAATTCTTCTATTAGATAGCAGGTACTGTGAGCATTAGACACAATAATGTGTCTAAAATACTTAGAAATCTGTGAGCATATAGCAAATGCACACGTAGAGTATCTATTGTTATTGTTGCTATGCAGCAATATGATTAAGGAAAGAGCACCTGAGGCCCAGGGATCACTTACAGTAGGCAAAAGAAAAAAGAAAAAGGCTTTGGAAAGTACAGTCTAGACTTTCGCAACTCCCATTTGAAAGAACTCAGTAGTCTGAGGGGCCCTCTTGCTACAAAGAAATAAAAATTATATTGTGTGATATTTTTATTTCATATATGGTTTTGATGAGTATATTACTCAGTTTCAGATTATTATAACAAAATATTTGAGATAATTAACTTATAATAGAAAAGATTTCTTTTGTCTCATGCTTGGGGAGTTTCCCGTGTGAGATCGGGAGTTGAGGAGCATTTACTCCAGTCCTCCAATATGGCAGCACATCATGGCAGGTGTGCACAGAAAAGCAAATTGCTCACATCATGAGCCATACAGCAAGGGAGAAAGAAGAGGCTAAGGCCTCACAACCCCCTTGATTGAGTGGGAGTGAGAACCTCCCACTAGGCCCTACCTCCTGAAGTTTTACCCCATCCCATTAGCACCATCCTAAGGACGCCACCCTCAACACATGGAACTTAGGGGAACATATTCAACATCCAAACTGTAGCATGGAGCTCATGGGAAATAAAGTAAACCCACAAGCTAAAATCAAAGTGGAGGACTAAAGAACTGACAGGAAGCACATGTGAAATGCTGGATAGAAAATACCAGTGCGGGGATCAGGAGGCTTAGACTGAGTCAGAACCAGGCCAGGGTCTCACCTGAGCCTGTTGGAATCTGCTTGGGATCCTGGAAAATGTCTAAAATGACTCGTTTGGCAGTACCCTTTGGCTGACAACAGAAACAAATATAAAGCTCCTCTAGATAAAAGTAACCCCAATTTAGGTCACCAGGCTTCCACAGATTAAGATCCACAAAGTATGAGATTACCAACATGCAAGGAAGCAGACATGGGTGGTATCAACAGGAACCATAAACATCAGGTTGAGGTGTCCAATAAATTCAGCTGTGGGCAATAATATATATGGAACATGAACTAACCATACATAAAATGTTTAAAGAATTAGATAGAATCACAAAAATAATAAATCAATAAAAATGCTCATTTAGACATAAAATGAACCAAACAGAACTTTTCAAAATAAACAAAGATTCTTACTGTCTTGCTGCTTAAAGGCAGAGTAAATTATATATTAGAAGTTGATAATTGCTATAGAAGATAATAAAGTTGAGCAGGTTAAGGGAGGTTGAGAGTCCCATATGGGGTGAGAAGTAAAAAATGTAGTATTAGTAGAATTTTTTTTTCAGTGCTAAGGAAGGAATCTGAGCCTGGTATCACTGAAGGTAGCTCTACCACTGAGCCCTGGGGTAGGTCTTTTTAAGAAGGGTTCTGAGAAAACACATGAGGAAGCAATGGAATTTGCCAGTGGAGATGAGGAATTTCCAGACAGTGGGTAGAGCAAAAGTCCTAAGGAACGAGTGTGTTGAAGAAATGGCTCAGAGGCTCAGTATCCTCAGAGAAGGAGAAAATAGGAGAGTATGAGGTAATAGAACGTAAGGAGGGCCAGGGCCTTACAGGTTATTGTGAGGCCTTGGCTTTTTCTCTGAGTGAAATGTGGAAGCATTGAAGGATTTTAAGCAGAGGAGAAATGTGATTGTGATGATTATTTTGGTTTCTGTGCTAAGAATAGACTATATTGAGGCCAGAGTAGAAGCAAAGACTGGTGAGGAGGCTATTACAGTGGTCTATAGTAGTAAAATTTGAAGGATAATTATAAAAATAGAGTAGGTAGTACCAAACTAGAAGTGAAAAAAAATGAAATATAAGTTAACAGAAACTGATTTTTTTAAAAGAAAAGAATTAGAAAAAAACTGTGGATGCAAAGTCGAACAGGAAAAGCAAAAGAAGATAGACATATAGCTATGTGAATCATTAAGACAGACGTATTACACTCACTGATTAGAATGCAGAAATTATCAGGTCATATCAAAATATACATGTACGAATTGGAGCTATATGTTATTTATGAAAGTCACACAACACATAAGGAAGTACAACATTTGAAACTGAAAGAATTGACAAAAAATACTAGCATTCATTAAACAAAAGAAAGCTGTAAAAGCCATAATAATATCAGAAAAACAGATTTTAAAATGCAAAGTATTATTAGGGATAGAAAACATTCAATTCACTTAAACAATTTTGAACTCATGTGCATCAATTAAAGTAGCCTCAAAATTAATAGAGCTAGAAAGAAAAATAAGCCAATAAATAATCAATTTGTACTGAGTATAAATCTCCCATGAGGGAGATTTTAGCATATTTTTTTACTGAGCAAATATACCATAATTTATTTAACCAGCCCCTGTCAGAAGACATTTAAGGTTGTTATTAGTCAAAAGCACACTTAAAGCCAGATGTCACAGTCATCCAGATAAATACTGAAAGCATTTATATATCAAATTCAGTGGCACATTGAGATTACTAGATCCAAATAAAATACTTACTATGCAAATGTGAACCTTACCTTTGCAGAAATGAAATTCTGATCAGTTTCATGTAGATATGTGTGATAGATATATAACTTTTATTTCAGAAAAATAACATTTTATATTACTCTTTTTTTTTCTTTTCAAGGAATATGGTACTGTTACCGTGAATACTACAATCTTCAGGAACACCCAAATTCTGCATTAACTATCTATGACATTGGTATTCAGACTAATATAAGCATGTACTTCCAATTGAAACAAACATGGTTCACAATGAGTGAGTAGATTTTAAAAACTAATTTTGTTAAAATTGTAATAATGAGAAAGTATTTTTTGTATATGAAAAATCTGGAGTTGATGCAATCTGTTAAATTCATTTATCAATAATGTAATCACAAATAAATGTCTACTTGTGTAGACATTGAGAAGAAATTATTGTGTAACCTAAGAAAATATTATATCACAAGGATCTCAGATATCTACAAAGAAATAAATGCTTGATTTTTCAAACTTGTTTTAAAAAAGGAAAATAAGAAATTAGAATTTCTTTCATTGCAAGACTTTAAACTATTATAGGAATTATAAGACATAAGTAAAAATAAATTTACTTATTTTGAGTGTTTATGTAAATTATTGAATTAGTTAGGGGTGGAATTAACAGAATTTTAAAGCAAAATGATTTTAAAGATGACTTTAATCTTATATACCTCTAGAATGGTTTTACTATAATATTCCTTGCACTTTACAAAGATTCATGTTCTTTAATAAAGATTTTAATAATCTCTACTTACATGCTGCTTTATAAAATTCATCTTCCCATTGTTCATATTACTCCTTCCATTTTAGAAGAAAGCTCAGAAGAGGGTGATGTCTTACGGTACATCATGACTCTGGCCATGGTTCTATTCCTGTAAATATAAAACTTTTGATTTTGCCTCTTCACTCAAGATCCAAGGGCAAGTTTGCATTATCACCAGAGCACCATTTTCCTTTTTTAAACTATTAGTATTCTCTCCCTGTGACCAGAATGCAAATATGTCCCATCTTACGCTTATTTTCCTGGGATCAAAGTAAAAGGGGAGCAAGATTTCATTGACAAGGGTTTTTTGGGGGGTAGGGGTGGGTTAGGGGTACATGGTGGCATTTACAGAGATTCTAACAATTTACCAAATACATCATACTTGAATTCACCCCTCCACCTTTCTCGTTTATCTCCCCTTCCCCCTTTCCTGGAATAGTTTTAACAGGTATCATTTTTCCATTTACATACATGTGTACATAGTATTTGTACCATATTCACCCTTTCCCCACTTCTCTGCTTGCATTGGTACCACCCCCCACCCCCCCCCACACACAGGCATGGGCCTGTTTCACCCTTCTGTTCTCTGGTTTTCTAAAATAAATTAAAAAAAAAAAAAGACATTTTTTTGCTTGTGAAAGATAGCTACCCAGGGAGTTTCCTTATGACATTTCCATATATATGTATTATAACCTGATTTGGCTCATCTCCTTTATTTTCTTCTTTCTCCCTTAGTTCCTTCCTTATGGTAGTTTCAACAATATTAAAATTCTATATTCATTCTTGTATAAAGAGTGCATCAACTATATTCACCTTCTTAACTGCCTTCTTTTACCCTTTCCCTCTCGTATGTGACCCCCCCACACTTTTAGCATGACCTGTTTTTCATAATATTGCTATATTTGTTTTAGGTCTATATGAGAGAAAATAAGCAGCTTTTGGCTTTCTGAACCTGGCTAACTTCACTTAAGATGATCTTCTCCAGTTCCATCCATTTACCTGCAAATGACAAAATTTCAATCTTCTTTGTGAATGAATAAAATTCCATTGCATATAAATACCACATTTTCTTACTCCATTCATCAGTAGTGGGACATCTTGGCTGTTTCCATAGCTTAGCTGTTGTGAATAGTGCTGTAATAAACATGGGTGTGCAGGTGCCTTTGTTTTAACCTGACTCACATTCCTTCAGGTATATCCCTAAGCGTGGAATTGCTGGATTGTATGGTAGTTCTATTTTCAGTTCTTGAGGAGCCTCCATACTAATTTCCATAGTGGTTGTACTAATTTATATTCCCACCAGCAGTGTATGAAGATTCCTTTTTCCCCACATCCTCGCCAACATTTGTTGTTGTTTGTGTTCTTAATGGTAGCCATTCTAACAGGAGTGAGGTAGAATCATTTTTTGGTTGTTGTGCTGGGTGGGGGTACATTGTAGCATTTACAAACATTCTTACAATGTATCAAATATATCATACTTGAATTCACCCCCTCCACCGCTCTCCCCCTATTTCTGGAATAGTTTCAATACATACATATATATGTACACAGTGTTTCACAATATTCACCCTCCTACACCCGTTCCCTGCAACTTCCCCCATGAGGTAGAATCTTAAGTTCATTTTGATTTGCTTTTCCCTTATGGCCAGGGATGTTGAACATTTCTTCATGTGTGTTTTAGCCATTTGGACTTCTTCCTTTGACAAAGCTCTACTCACTTCTTTTGCCCATTTCTTCACTGACTCATTGAATTTTTGGGAGTTTAGTTTTTCAGCTCCCTATATATTCTGATTATCAATCCCTTGTCAGATGCATAGCTGGCAAAGATTTTCTCACATTTTTTGGGCAGCCTCTTCAATTTAGAGACCATTCTTTTGTTGTACAGAAATGTTTTAATTTCACGTAGTCCCATTTGTCAATCCTTTCTCTTATTTGCTGAGCCATTTGAATTCTATTGAGGAAGTCCTTGCCTACACCTATTAATTTCAGTGTATTCCCTGCTCTTTCCTGCACTAGCTTCAAAGTTTCAGGTCTTATATTAAGGTCCTTAATCCACTTTGAGTTGATATTTGTACAGGGAAACAAACATGGGTCTAGTTTCAGTTTTCTGCAGGCAGATGTCCAGTTTTCCCAGCAGCATTTGTTGAAGAGGCTGCCTTTTCTCCATCGTTATGTTTTTGGCAGCTTTGTCGAAAATCAGGTGAGTGTAACTGCATGGATTCATATCTGGGTCCTCTATTCTGTTCCACTGGTCTTCACATCTGTTTTTGTGCCAGTACCATGCTGTTTTTATTGCTATGACAGTGAGAAGCTTTTTAAGAGAAGAGTCTTGGGAGGTGTTTTCTTCAGGTACCAACTTGATGACCTAGCTCTGTAGCACCGAAGTCCTCACCACATTCCTTTGTTGTCAAATTCAGTTTTTCACTTTTCCTTGGGTAAGGCTTGATCAACATGCCAAGGTCTTACTGACTTCTCATTTTCAGCTCTCATGAAGACTGGGTTCCTTCACTTATAGTAGTTTTCAAATATGTTGCTGAAGAACTTCTTCATTTGCAGCTTTTCTTTTTGACTACAAAAATGTAGCATCTTGAGAACTGCACCCTCACTACTTTTCCTGAATTTGAAAGACTGAACAGATCCTCAGCAAGCCACTTACTTTTGGCAATCCTTTCCAGAGGACCTATTTTTTCTAGAGACCAATTTTAGCCCTTGTGTAACCTGCTGTCTCTTAAGACCCATCCACAAAAAAGTTGTTGAGAGTATCAGGATCTGCCATTGGAAAAATTCAGAGATGTGTTTTTAGGAAAACATATAGAGCTTTTAAAAAAAATTTTAAGGTGTAGCAATACCAATTCCTTCTCAAATGAACCTCAAGTTTTATAACCTATTTGTTAGACATTAATTGATTCATTGATCTGTGCTAGGACAAAATTCTAGATACAAGAGACAAGGGCACACATGTGAAATTATACTCATTGAGAGAATCATTAAAAATAAGCAGAGTTATAAATAAAAAATCTGCTGTTTTCAGGAGGCAGAGATCAGGAGGATCATAGTTTGTGGCTAGCCCAGGCAAAAAGTTACCAAGATCCTACCTCAACAAAAAAACGAATGCATGGTGATTCATACCTGTAATCCTAGCTAAATGGGAAGTGCAAGGTGGATTGCGGTCCAAGCTGGCTGGGCAAAAATATGTGAGACTCTATCTGAAAAATAACTAAAGCAAAAGGGGTTGGGTGTGTGGATTAAGTGGTAAAGCACTTGCCTAGCAAGTTTAAGGCCCTTAGTTCAAATTTTAGTATCACAAAAATGATAATTGTATAGTCTTAGATTGTGTTAGAAAATTATTTATTCCTGTGTGTACAATTAATTAACTTCATGACCTTGGGTACAACTCAGCCCCCAGATCCTAGTCTTCTGCTCTGGAAAGTTATAGAGTTATTCCGTCTGATCTATAGGATATGAAGTGTATTTCTGTTATATACTATTATTTAAATGCAAGAAGAAAATATAACATACAAAATTAAAAGACATTTAAGTTTTCCTAACATAACTATTTTGATATTTTATTTGGTAAAGGTGCAAATTTAATATACAATATTCTTTAACAATACAATTTCAGAATACATAGTGATTCCCACGTATTTCATTTTCTTGGGTTTGTTCAAAGATAACTTTAGTTTAATAGAACCATATTCCACATTTTGGACTCAAATTAGTGCCTTAAGAGAATAAATTGTGCATAAAACATAAAGATACAACTTAACTGAAAGAGGATGTACAGGCAAAATGATTAAGAAGTTCCTCCTACGCCTTTGGGTTAACAGATTTCCTACTTGGAGATAGAAATTGATGTGTGATATAATACCAGATCTTAGTAGTGTGGCAATAGGTGATATAATGAGCACTGCCAGTGTCCAGGCATGAGCAGAATAACTATCTAGCAAGGAGGTTTTAGAAGGAATTCTTTCATGGGTGAGATTTTAAGTTTCCATGAACTTATACTTTGGAGGCCTATTTTTAGTAGTACCATATTTTCTTGATTTTGAAAGAGCCTTACTTTTCTATGTTGTAAGGTTTCTGAAATCGGACTACCTCTTAAAATTATTGAATAGACATTTAATCAAGGGCTATTTTCCTAAAAAGGTGTTTCTAAATTAAAAGTTGCCTTACAATTGAGATATGTAATAATTAAGACTACATGGCTTCACGGCAAAGGAAATAAAGCAAAACACAAATTCAACTACCTTATGAGAAAAAATTAGAATAGGCTGGAGGAAGAGAAGGATGTGTTTATTACAAGAAAACAGAAGTGGTTCGTTAAACTTAAAAAAGCAGAAAAGTAGCTGTAAGTTCACCTGTTTCCAGAAAAGCCAAAAAGAATCCAAGATTCCCTCTTTTTAATGCTTTCTTTGCTTACATATACTTTTGCTTTCTTCACATAAAGATGTGTTAGACACCCCTCGTTGTTTAAATTTTGTATAAAGTTCAGCTCAAGTGGTTTATAAAGCTCAATTCCCTTAGTTTTGATTCTAAGATTTTTGTTGGCCAGATTGGTTTGGTTTATGCTCTGATTCCATCAATTGTGGTTATGGGGGGATGTAGAGTCACAAAAATAAAAGGGTGGCAGCCAGTGCCCTTCTGGATCAGTCAGCAAGGACCATTGAGAGTGTTTGTGAGGCAGACAGCTTTCATTTCCTTCTGTATTAGCCTCTCACTTGATGAACTGGCACTGGCAACATCTAGACCAGAGCTGCCTGGCACCACTCTCCCTTCCTTCCAGTTCCTATAGTGCTGTGAAGTGTTTTCATGGATGAAATAAAGTCTGTCCAGAGGATTGCTCTAGCTCTAGCTAAAGGTTTTACTGTTAGCATTTCTTGGAGGCATTGAAAGTGAGTTTCATTTTGGACAGCACTGCTTAAATTATGAGGTGTCAGAATGGCCAGAAAAAATCATGGCACTCAGTCCTAACTTTGCAGAGAAAATTTGTTGTTCTGTACTGATTTGTGTCACAAGCTGGTTTTTTCCCTGTTCACAGTGATAATACTCTGCATTCTGGAAGTGATCATCATCCTCATGCTGATCTTCCTCAGGAAACGAATCTGTCTCGCCATTGTCTTGCTGAAGGAAGGGAGCAAGTAAGGCCTGTAATGTAGAACTCAGGCAATGTACATCAATCAGTCAGTTGTCATCACATAGATTCCCCTTAAGAATTCTTGGCACAGTGGCTGTAATCCCAGCTACCTGGGAGGTGGAGATCAGGAAGATTGTGATTCAAAGGCAGCCCCATCTCAACAAATAAACCAGGCATGGTATACATCTGTAATCCCAGCTATGTAGGAGGCATAGGTAGGATAATCATTTCTGAGTCTGGTCCCAGGCAAAATGTGAAGCCTTATCCAAAAATTAACTAAAGCAAAAAAAAACTGTTTTGGGGAGGGTCTGGGTTGGGTGCTAACTACCAAGCATGAGGCCCCAAGTTCAAACCCCAGCACCAAGAGAAGAAGAAGAAGGAGGAGGAGGAGGAGGAGGAGGAAAAGGAGGAGAAGGAGGAAAAAGAGGAGGAGAAGGAGGAGGAGGAAAAAGGGGAGGAGGAGGAGGGGTGGGATGAAGAAGAAGAAGAAGGAGGAGGAGGAGGAGGAGGAGGAGGAGGAGGAGGAGGAGAAGAAGAAGAAGAAGAAGAAGAAGAAGAAGAAGAAAGAAGAAGAAGAGCTTGCTAAAGGAAACCCTTTTCTGTTCAGACTTTTTGAAGTTCAGATGCTGCCACTTATTACAATGGTCACCACTAATAAGTCCTTTAATATCCCCAAATCTCAGATATCAATAGGGCAAAAAGTTGGAGAACATCTGTTTAGTCTCTGCATTAACATTTTTGGAAAGCAAGTATATTTTAGGACAGTAATATATGTGAAAGCAAGTAACCAAGTTCTGTATAACAGTTAGCTACATTACAGGTCATATTCTATCCAACCTGGGTCATATCTTGACATTAATGATTGAGATAATTTGCTGAACTTTAAATCACCATAATTCTAGAAAGTCAATCATGTGCTATTATCATTCCTGTATAAGTGACAAGTTTTTCTAGCAGACAGAACAATTGATTCTAGCAGCAGTATACTACCCATTGTGTGTCTAAAGCCCACAGTTCAGGAACACTAATGCCTGAACTATTTTTATTTTTAAATGTTACAAAACAAACACTAAATCTTTCATAGAGTTCATGCTGGGAAGCAATAGCACCTGTAGTTTCCAAACTATTCCAAAAGGTCACTTGAGGAAAATACGTTCTCTGAACTTTTAAATGACACATGAAAGAAACAAGTAAATCATTCCAATAAAGCCAACAAGCCATGCTCTCTACTGAGAATGATGGAAACTAAGTTGTTAAGAACCAAGAATCAAATTATTTTTAATTGCCTTTAAGGACTATTTTAACAAAATTGCCATATTATTATTATTCTAATAGTGCCACCTGAATCCAGTGGTTTAACCAGTTAACAAGCTGCTTGTTAAACTCTCTCTTTTTCCCACAATAACTGATGCCCTATCATTCTCCACTGAAAACTACTGATTTGCTGGGTTTATTTCTTAAATAGTATGTTATTGTGAAGTTCACTATAAGTTGTCCCACTTGTCACAACCTTGTATGTGTGTGTTAAAGGGCCAATACAATTGTGACAGGTTGCTACTTTGTTCAGGGGAAAAATAAAGCCTAGAATAAATAGATATAAGAATACAAAGTAAACTTAAGGACACCTAATAGTTAATTTAAAATCAGTGTGTGGAGATAGGAGAAAACAGCATAGCTGAAATAGTGAGATGAAGAAGGTAACAAATGAAGAAGGAATCTAAGACTGTCGATGTATTTGGAGTAGTGAGATTTCCATAGTATTTTTCAGTGGTTGGCTGAATCAAACAGTATTATGTTTAATCCACTGTCATATACTGAAACAACTATTTAAAAGAAGTTGAAAAAGCATAACTAAGATGGTAAAAACTTTACAAACCGTGTTCAATGAGGAAATGTCAAAGAAATGATTACCATGGAGACAAAAAAAAAAAGGATAAAGAGCTACTTGAAGGGTTGCTATGGGGCAAAGGTGATAAAATAATCATCTCTTCTGCAAACTTTAGTGGAGGTAAGTAACAAACAGGCAGATTTGGAAGAGTTTCCTAAGACTTTGCTGAGAGAATGGAATAAGCTGTGAAATAAACTGTACAAAAATCAGTTCCTCTCACTCAGTGTCTTCACCAGAGGGTAATGGATGCAGTTTGAATGTAGTACAGAAAGTATTTGTAAATTAGGAAGAGATTCCTACAGCTTAACCAATGGTCTTTGGAGTCTTCTCCAAATTTAGAAGTCAAGAATCTAGGCAAAGAAAGAAATTATAATGTATTATAATTATAATGTATCAAAACCTTATGGACCGGAGAGAAATAACCAAAGACAAGATAATTTGGGTCACTTTTGGTGGGAGTTAAACATCAACATAGGAATAATGCCCCAACTTACTTTCACAAAATAAATAGAAATGAAAACAACTAAGAACTTATCAGAATGATCAGTAAAAAAAGAACTAATAGTTATTAATTCTAGTAATATGCAGTTACAAGAATTAATTCAGTCTAAAGTTTACTTCTGGTTCTAGCAAACAACACTTTAATTGGGAAAATACTGATCTGATTCAGCCTTCATTTTGAATTTCAACTATTTCTTTTATTTCAGAGCCATTGGATATATCCCTAGTACATTACTTTATCCACTTCTAACCTTCATTTTGCTCTCCATCTGCATTTGCTACTGGGCTGTGACAGCAGTGTATCCTTTGATGACTGACTGCTTATACTTCAAGTCCACATTGCTATTCAGGAGCTAGGAGTTTGTGTCCAGTATTTTCTATCCTTAGGAGAAGAGGAATATCCTAAAGAAATAACTGGATTATTTTTCCAAGCCTTAAAAATATTTCAGTGTATTGATTTCATTTCCTCTCAAAGAGGTCATGTGATAGATTTGTTTTATTTTGACTTCCCTATGATGTTTGGCCTTTGCAATAACCTAAGAAAACTCATATATTATGCTGTATTGTAGGGACTACTCACTGTAGCTGGCCCATGCTACATTGATGTAGGCCTGATGAATAGATGAATTATTAAAATGTTAGAAGATTTTTCAAAGTTAATCTTTTCAGAGATTATGGACTTCAGAGTTATCTGTATTTTTTCCTTGTCTGTTTGTTTTCAATTTATTTACCAGTAACTAGTTTATCCTTAATAGAGTTCATTCAGTTTCTTGGCTACATCAGGAGTACCTATCTACAAAGTTATAGCCCCAGAGGGGCAATGTATACATGAAAATCAAACCTGTGACCCAGAGGTAAGTAAAAGAAACTCTCTTTTGCACTTACCTCAAAATTCCACTACATTTCATGTTTCAGTTGTAGAGGTCATTCTGCAACAGACCCTAGGCACTGACATGAGGAAACTGTGTACACAAGGGGAAAGTGGATTAGCAGAGAGTGTTGAAAACAGTGAGCAGAATGGAGAGGAAACATATTATTATTTGCTGAGCTTGCTTATCCTATCATATATCCAAGAAATTGGTATGGTCAACTAAACTAATTAGTGTGAAATTTATTGGTGATGATTAATGTATGTATGATTGAAAATGAGGTACTTTTCAGAGCTCATTAAAGAATTCTATAAACCTATCTGATAGAAAATATAGGAAAAATAACAAAAGCCTAGTAGAGGAAAAATAGAATATGAAATTGAGGGCTACAAAAGAGAGAAAAGAATGGCATTTAGTGTTATGTTCTGTTGTTTTTTCTGGGTGCAGATTTTTAATACAACTGAGGTTGCCAAAGCTTGCCCTGGAGCTCTGTGTAACTTTGCCTTCTATGGTGGAAAGAGTATGTACCATCAATACATCGTTACCTTCCACGTGTACAATCTATTTGTCTTTCTCTGGCTTGTAAACTTTATCCTTGCATTGGGCCAGTGTGCCCTTGCTGGTGCCTTTGCTGCTTATTACTGGGCCATGAAAAAACCTGATGACATCCCACCACATCCACTTTTTACGGCATTTGGACGAGCAGTACGGTAAGCAATATGTTGAACTCTGTACCCTTTCCCTCAGTATGTTGAAATTCAGTTTTGGCATTAATTCAAGTAGCAAAGTACAAGTTAGTTGAGAGTATGATTCAATATTTGTGGGTGCTCATTGGCTTGTCTGGTTTCACAGACACAGTTTTACAACCCCTTACCTAGACCAATACCTTTCTAAATCCTATTGGTTATTGCTGATAGGAAGGGATAGAGGAGGACATCAAATAAAAGATTAAGAATGAAATTAGCTCTATGTCTCCATTGATCAATCCAAGCATCATATTTTACAAGAAAATAGTGGAATAACAGCAAAAGCTAATAGAGGAAATATAGAACATGAAATTGATAGATGAAGTGTAAGACAGACCCATATGATTTAAAACACTATCTGCAGACTGTTGAATAAGAGTGTAAAAAGGTCTTTCTTCTATAGATCTCTTTCATCTGTGAAAAATGTTCAAGTCAAAATCCGTTAGTTAATAGTAAAGATATTTTAACCTTTATTCTCATTTTGTCTGCCTAGATATCACACAGGATCCCTTGCATTTGGATCTTTAATCATTGCAATACTTCAAATGTTTAAAGTGGTCACAGAATACTTGGACAGTCGTATAAAAAGTAAGACTCCAGAATTTACCTTAGACTTCCTGATTTCTGTGAAGAAAATAGAATGTGGCTAGAGTGGAGGTAGACTTGGTGACCATAACTTGAACTAGGGTAGCAATGATGGAAATGGTCAGGTTGGAATGTTTTGAAGGACACCCCAGTAGGACTTGCTGAAGGATTGAATATCAGAGGAAGGGAGAAGCAGTGGTGAAGAGAGAAGAAAATGTGTTGTATGATTTATTAAGATGTAGAAGCCAGGTGAAGCAAATTTTTAAAAAGAGATTAAAAATACTGTTTAATATGCTACTGTTGAAAAGCATGGTGGCGTCAGGTATACAGTTCCAAGTCTAGAGCTCAGATCAGACTTAAAATGTAATTGTAGAAGGCCAGGCACTGGTGGCTCACACCTGTAATCCTAGCTACTCAGGAGGCAGAGATCAGGAGGATTATGATTTGAAGTCAACCTCAGCAAATAGTTTATAAGATCCTATCTCAAAAAATCTCTTCACAAAAATAGGGCTGGTGGAGTGACTGAAGGTGAAGGTGAGGGTGTCATTAACATAAGCTTTCATAAATGACACAGATAGTATACAAACATAAATAGCCAAAACAATCTTGGAAAGAAAGGACAAAGTTAGAGGACTCACACTTCCTGATTCAAAAAAAAAGATACAACAATCAAAAAAGTGTGGTATTGGCATAAGGATAGATACATAGACCTGGAATAGAATAGAGATCCCAGAAATAAATCTCCACGTATTTGATGGGAAAAGGTCATCTTTTTTCAGCTAATGATGAGGGGAAATTTGAGTATCTACAAATAAAAGTATGAAGTTGGACCTGTGTAACCAAGTACAAATACAAAAATTAATTCAAAATTGATCAGACCTAAACATAAGAGCTAATATAAAAATTTTAGAAAAAAACATAGGCATATTTATGACATTGGATTTGGTGATAATTTCTTGTCTGTCATGCCAAAAGCATAGGCAAAAGCAAAAAGAATTATATTTAATCAAAATTAAAAATATTTGCGCATCAGACACTACAGAGAGTTAAAAAGAATCCACACAATGGAAGAAAAATATTTACAAATAATATACAGATAAGGGAATAATACTGAGTATATAAAGAACTTCTATAACTCTACATTAAAAAGAGGAAAATAAGCCAACTCAAAATGGGCAAAAGGACTTAAATAGACATTTCTCCAATGATGATACACAAATGACCAATAAGGACATGAAAAGATGCTAAATATCACTAGTCATTAGGAAGATGTATATCAAAGTCTTCACAACCACTAAAATGGCTTCAAAACCACAAGAACAACACAACAAACACAGAAAATGAGAAGTGATAGTGAGGATATAGAAAAATAGATTCTTTGAGTATTGTTGGTAAGAATGTAACATGGTCTAGCCACTGTGGAAAACAGTATAGCAGTTCTTTAAAAAGTGAAAAATAGAATTTCCAATGGATCCAGACATTCTACTTTTAGCTGTATAATCAAAAGAATTGAGGGCCGTTAGCATATACTAAGTAGGTAGAGTACCTACTTAGTATAGCAGCATTTTTCACAATAGTCAAAAAGGTGGAAGCAACCCAAACTTTTATTAACAGATAATGTGTTATTTATGTACAATGGAAAACTAGCATTTAAAAGGAATGATAATATTATTCTAAATGAAATAAGATACAAAAGAACACATTTTATATGATTTTACTTATATGAGGTACCTAAAGGAGGCAAATTCACACAGACAAAAATAATAGTAAAGTTTACTAGGACCTATGGATGGGGTGGGGAGAAGGAGTTACTGTTGAGTGGGTATAGAATTTCTCTTTGGTATAAGCAATATTATGAAAAACAGGGTACACTAAGGAGAGGTCACTAATGGGAGAGGGAGGGTGAAAGAGGGAAGTTAAGATGAATATGGGTTATGTAATTTCTATACAAGAATAAACATAGAATTTTTAAATCTGTTGAAATCACCATAAGAAGGGGACTAAGGTAGAAAGGAGAAAAATAGAGGGCATGAATCAATTCGAGTTATAATATGTGTATACATGTAAATGTAACAAGGAAACTCCAGGTGTAAACTATCTTAAACAAACAAAAATGCTCTTTTTTCAAAAAATAAGAACAGGAAGGTAAAACAGGTGCTGTCTGGGGGTTGGCACCAGTGGGAGGGGGGAAGCTATAAGAAAAGTGTGAAGGAGGCTGATGTAGTGGAAATAGTATGTACTCACGTATGAAATGGAAAAATGAGACATGTTGATACTATTCCAGGAATGGCGTGGGGGGCATAAGGGAGAATTATGGAGGGTGTGAACCCAACTATGATATATTATAAGAACTTCTGTAAATATCACAATGTACCCCCAGTATGACAGTAATAATAATAAAATAAATTGTTCTTATATAAAAAAATAGAATTTCTCTTTGGGATGATAAAAAGTTTTGAAAATGGATAATGGTAATGATTTTGCAATATTGTGAAGGTGCCCAGGGCCACTGAATTGTACACTTAAAAATGGTTGAAATGGCAAATTTTATATAATGTATATTTTACTGCAATAAAATTTTGAAGCCTATTTAAAATATTTTATTATTACTTATTTTGAATCATAGCATTCCATTGCAAATCAATAATAGATCTAAATACCTTCTTATAGATGCCCAGAACAGCATTGCTAGATTCCTACAGTGCTGTCTGAAGTGCTGTTTCTGGTGTTTGGAAAAAATGGTAAAGTTCTTAAACAGAAATGCCTATATCATGGTAAGTAGATTTTTTGGTTAACTATGCTGCTTCTTTGCAAGTGCAACCCATGTCTGCCTTGCTCCCTCTAAATGCTTTTATATTATGCCATTGAATTTACCTCCATGTTGGCATAAGAAGCCATCATGTGATTCAGACATATGCTTTCCTAGTTGAGCTGTTATTACCTTCAATCTCTCTCTTTTTTTTTTTTAGAGTAAATACTATTCACATTGGAAAATTTAAAGTGTTGCTAGATTGAGAAGGGTTTTGTGCGTGTTTGACAGTTTAGTGAGGAGGAAGCTTAGTTAAGTCTGTTTCACTCTGTGAGTCTTTCTAATTCTGAGATTTACATAATTTTAAGAAAGGGATTGATCCTTTTTATGAATCTCATAGTAAAATGTATGGGTATTGATAATGCTTGACTAAATTTATTCTTTTGACTAAGTTTATTCTTTCGCCTATGGGGCTATGGAGACTTCTAAAGAAATTTTTTAAGGTAGGAGATTTAGAAATATAATTCTCTTAAAATTAAGAAACTACAACCTTATGAACTTGCTTATTACCACGGTGACATGAGTCTGAAAAAGTGATTTAAATAGTCATTACTTTACCTATAGTGAGAGTATTATGTTGAGTCTTTTAGTCAGTAAATCAAATATAGTGAAAGGTATAGGAATTCCTTAAGAGTAAGTTTTGGGCCGAGTGCCAGTGGCTCAGGCCTGTAAACCTAGCTACTTGGGAGACTGAGATTGGGAGGATCATGGTTCAAGGCCAGCCCAGGAAAATAATTCACAAGACCCTATCTTCAAAATAACCAGAGCAAAATGGACTGGAGGTGTGGCTCAAGTGGCAGAGCTCCTGGTTTGCAAGCATGAAGTCCTGAGTTCAAACACCAGTCCCACCCCCCAAAAAAAAGATAATAAAAAGAGTAAGTTTTGATATGAAGAAAACAGTATTTCACCTATTCAACAACAGACTCTAACCAGAACATTTCAAAGACAGAAACCCTTAACCTTGGACTTGAGAAAAAGACCTACCTCAAGACTGGAGTTTACGGGGGCATGCAATATGTGAAGAACACCTAAGTGTCAATGACTATGAGAGTTGTTTGGAGTTGAGGACACACATCTCCCAGGCTTTCTAAGAACCTAATTATTGGAAAAAAAAGAAGGGAGTACCAGTATGAATGACAGGAATTAGTTTGCTTATTTCCCTATCATTGATTGCCCTTTGATCTTGTTAGAATATGTTACTGACTCGGTATAATCAATTGTCTTTCTCAGATTGCAATATATGGCAAGAACTTCTGCAGGTCAGCAAGAGATGCTTTCAATCTGCTAATGAGAAACATTTTAAAGTAAGTAATCAGGTTGGAAATTGCAAGAGACAACTTAGTGGACCTCAAACCTTGCTGTTATTTGAAGTGTTTGTTGCTTTATTAGGAGTGAATATTATCTTTTATTTTGAAAGCTTTAAATCTTCTCTCTCATATTCCTAATTTATTTTCACATTTTGAAAGTGTTCTCATCATCACCTAGGTTTTTACACCTATTGGCATTTATTTGTCTTTATTATCTCTTCTGGTTAAGAGATTTCCCGGATGAATTCCATTACCATCTTTTCCCTGGCAATTTCCCCCTCCCAAAATTATTGGAAACTTAGTGGAAAAAATCAGAGAACAAATACAGCATCTTCAGTATCCAAGATGTCTATAGACTTTGAATTAGGAGATAGGCTGAAGCCTCCATTGCATGACACCCAACAGCCCTAGGATGCCACCTTCTGTTTACTTCATTAAAAATAAGTCAGAACTTCATACCTGGGTTTTACTTTCATTTCTTGCATCTAACAACTGCCAAATACAAATTCAGCAGACTTATCAAAATGAACTCATGAGTTATTTATTCTAATAAATTTTAAGTAGCAAATGTATTTTAAACAAAAAATTATTCTTTCTTTTTTTCTGATACTTAGAGTTGCAGTTACAGATGAAGTTACACACTTTGTATTACTTCTGGGAAAAATTCTAGTTTCTGGTTTTATAGGTAAGTAACAATAATAAATTAATAAAAAGTTGAAAAGATGCTTGGAAAAATTGCCTTACTCCAAAAAAAACAACAACATGCTTTTGCAAATGCATGATATATGTGCTCTGCCTTTTCCATATAGGTGTCCTGGCCTTCTTACTATTCACAGAAAAATTACCAATGATCGCATATGGACCAACATCTTTAAATTACTACTGGGTACCTTTGCTGGTAAGAGCTGGTGGGGATTCAGCTGGGTATTCTGTAACAAAAATATTATACAGTGGGTACCTCAAACAACAGAAATTTATTCCTCACAGTTTTGTAGGTTGGGATGTTCAAGATCAAAGTATTAACCCATTAAGTTCCTGATGAGGGTCCTCTTCCTGTTTTTCAGAGGGATACCTGACTGCTTCCTCACAGGATGGAGAACAGATCATGTTTCTTATCTCTTATTATGAGAGCACTTATCCTTCCATAAGGGTACTACTCTTGTGACCTCTTACCACCATAGGCCTTGCCTTCAAATTCCATCACATTGGGGATTAGAACTGGGAGAGGAACCATCAGAGATGGTAAAATTTTAAAAAGAAGAAAAGAAAATAGGAAAAATAATGACAGCTAACATTTTTGATCTTACTTTGTGCCAACCCTCATCCTTCTTTAGAGATTAGGTTCCTTGGAAACAACTGGTCACAGAGAAGACTGCATGCAAAAGTTTTAATAGGAAGTCCCCTCCTGAGACACATCTGTAAGGGAGTGACAAGAGCAGGACATGGCAAAGGAAAGGGTAACCCACATTGCAGTCACAGCTGAAGCATCAAACATAATTGCAGGAAGTTATGGCAAAGAGGCTTTGTAAACTGCATCAGGCAGTTGTTAGCCATGAGCCGACCCCCAGATGGTGGTGTAAACTTGGGTGAGGCTCATCTCTACAGGGAGAGCAGTACCTAGTCAAGGAAGCAGCTGAGTCATCAGCAGACTACATTTCCAACCACTGTGGATAGATGAGGGCAGTGGGTGGAAATTCAGGTAGAACCCCATCACCCATGTGCTAGAAATGCTGTCATTGCATTCTCCTTTCCCCACTGCCAATATAACAAAGGAGACATAAAGAAAGTAAGTAACTTGATGAGGGCCCAAGCTGTGATTCAAACCCAGGCAGTATGTGCTCTTAACTCGTGATGCCTCACTGCCTTGAGTGCACTACACTACAGGTAAGATGCTTTTAGTATGCATTGGGAACAGTGGTAATCAGTGGGCAGATAATCTAGTACATTTTCTCTAGGTCTCAAGACAATGCACGCAGAAGCATTATCACTGAAGTTTTTGGTCTCTATATTGAAATCTTTTCCAACAGAGTCCTGCAAAACTTTCTCATCACGGCTTTTACTTACAGCTGCACTGTTTTTCTTGTGGATAAAGTCAGTGACATGTTGGTTATTTTCTTTACCCATTCACAGACTGTCATTTTTGGATCTTACCTAATTGCTCATGGGTTCTTCAGCGTCTATGCAATGTGTGTTGAAACAATTTTCATCTGCTTCTGTAAGTATTCAGCATGCATGTTTTCTCCTTTCTTTGGATAAGTGAAAGATGAGAAGGTAAAGACCCCTGTGCTAGCTAGCTTGTAGATTTTTTATTACCTGGCTACAAACCCAAAACAATATTTATTTGGAAGGAGACATTACTTAGTAGATGTTCTTAATCTTTAACAGCTAACAAACAAGCCAAAGGCAGAGAGACAAATACTGCATGATCTCACTTAAATATGGAATCTAAAAACTTGAACTCAGAAACAGGGAGCAAAAGGATGGTGGTCAGAAGTCCAAGGAGATGTCAAAGTGTATAGTTATAAGACAAACAAATTCTGGAGTACTAATGCACAGCATGGAAGCTATAATTAATAATAATGATTAATAACTGAAACTATTTCTCAAATTTTATGTAAGAAAATATCTAGAACCTACTAGTTTCTAATCTTCGAAAGCTTAGACCAATAGCAGCAGGTTTTTAATTTGGGAAATAAGAAATATTTCCCTCTCATGTTTATTAATAAATTTCCAAGTTCTCGAAAATCAAGTACAATATCCATTTTATTCAATACATTGCATGCTGATGTGAATATCTTCCTTTCAGAAACTCTTGTCTTCGATAATAAAAAAGAAAAAGGGAAGCCATGTGGTATTTCTCTCCCCTCTCCAGCTGTCACAATGAGAGTAGCCTCATACTTTGGAAAACATTCTTCTTCAGCAATATCCTAAGCCAAATTTGGATACTTTTTATTCTTTATATATCTTGGTTGCCAGAAAAACTTGTGTTTTTAAAGAAGTCAACCATTTGTAAACACTTTCTTTATAGAAACAACATTTTTTAAACTTTGCAAGGCACTGAGAATCCTGCTTGGAGAAAATAATATTTGAAGCTGATTATTAATGTGATCCAGACCAGGCTTCCTACCACTGTCTCAAAAGTAACAATGACAGAGACATATGGTACATGATGTTATAAAGGAATAGGACTATGGGTGAAACATGAAAGATGCTCAGTGTCTATCATGCTCCCTCCTTAGCTTTTCATTTTATATGTGAGGAAGGTCACTGTGAAGTCTAATGTAAAAACTGGCTAAACCAATAACTCATCTATTCCTGAAAGGGCGTAGATACTGTCTGTTGTGAATTATGAGTATTTGCAGGAAGTTAATTCCATGCAAATTTCTCCTTGCTTCTCAGCATAGCTCTGATGCTTCTCCAGCAGGTGGGTCAGTGAAGATGTAGTCATTTTAATATTAGCCTGAGCAAAGCAGGAAGATAAATTCACACGTTTCAGAAGTCAGAAAACACTAGCAGTTGCTGTCAAATATAATCTGAGATAGGCCACAAGGATTTAGGGCAGGGCAACTTCTATTAAGTAGGATGAGAACTGGATGTCAAGAGACTGCATCCTCATCTCTTCCTCACTGCCTCAGAGCCTTCAGCTTTTGCAGAGTCATTTTACAACTCCCAGCCTCAGCTTCTTCACCTGTAACATTAGCGTGTGAACTACCATTAAAAATTACTTTACCCAGAGCTGGGTACTGGTGACTCACACCTGTAATCCTAGCTACTTGGGAGGCTGAGATCAGGAGGATTGCAGTTCAAAGCCAGCACAGGTAAACAGTTCACAGAATCCTATCTTACAACACAAACCAGGGCTGGTGGAGTGGGTCAAGTGGTAGAGCACCTGCCTAGCAAACATGAGACCCTGACTTCAAATCCTAGTACCACCAAAAATATTTCTTTAGCTAAGCATGGTGGCACATACCTTTAATCCCAGTTCTTGGGAAGTCAAAGCATGAGGAGTTTGTGAGCTATATTGCCAAAGCCTGTCACCCCACCCAAAAAAAAAAAAAAACATGTAAAACAAACAGACAAAAAAGACCTTATGCTCTAAAATTCAATTATTATTCTACATTTACCACAGAATTACTATGTTTTTTATTCAACTTTATCACCAAAGTTGTGTCAAACTATGTTTCTGAAATAAATGGCTGAGGGATTTAAAGATAACACTGTTGCAAAACACAGAAAATCTTACTAGCCTTTAAACTATCAAAATGACCCTCTTGGGAAGTGGGAGGGGCTGGTGGGATGGGTGAGTGCTCCCCGGCAGAACTTGGAGCTTCTTGTTTTGTTCAGCATGAGAAACTTCACTGCATTAATTTGTCTTATATTTGACTTTCTAACACTGATTTCTCTAATTTTTTCCTGTTCCACTCCTCAATTTATAAACATGTGTATACATATTCTGCTGATGCTTGCTGCTTTTTCCCTGCTTTGGCTACTGCATATACAGGTGAAGATCTGGAAAGAAATGATGGATCTGCAGAAAAACCCTACTTCATAACCCCTAACCTGCACGGGATTTTGATCAAGAAGCAACCAGTTCCCCAGAAGCAGAAAGAGTAGAAAAACTCCAAACAGTGCCACTCACTCTTCAATTAAAATTTTGTAAATTAGGTCTATTGTCATTTGAAAATGTTGCTTTCAAGGAATGTGAGAATTCTGAGTTATTTCTAAAAAGTTAGCACTTGGTACCATTTGAGATGTCAGGCATTGGATGACAATGACCTGTGTGAAGTAGTAACTGTATAGACTGTGGTCCCCACTGAAAATCAAAGTGTTCATGTCAAACATTTTTAAAATCCTAGAGCTGAAAGTGTTTAATAACTTTTATAATTCAGTGTGCTGTTTCCATTATGGCACGTTGATAGCCTTTCTTTTTATAAGTGTATATTTGTAAAGGATATTCAGGCAATTTTTGAAAACACTATAAATGTGTAATCAATTTAGCCATAAAATATTGAGTTATAGTTAACCAGCATATGGTACTGAATTTGTAAATATGGTGCTATGGTTATATTATTCAAGCTGGTGAACAACTCTCTAAGCTGTGACTATTTATTTGTATTAATGGCTCCCTACGAAGGATATTTCAGTGAGTGAATCAAGTCCATAACAAGTGTCTAACTGTTAATGTCACACAGGTTCTACAAAGCGAATCACTGGGTAACGGTTACTGTGGAACCTCACAGTCCATTTTGTTTTACTGAACTTATATTTATACTGAAGTCAAATCTGAGTTCTGAAATATCATTTCCAATAATAGGAACTTCTAGCCACCATGAGAATATTCTGAAAAAAAAACTGAAATTCCTACATAACTCATGCTTTTTGCCTTTAACCTGAATTTCCTACTCTACCATACAGAAAATCAGTATGGATTTGTTTCAGAAGAGTGGTTTTTCTTTTCATGAGCATACTGGTGTTTCTAGATTAAAGAGATTGTGTGGCTTTGCTCTTCAAAAGATTTAAGGTCAGTTGAATTTTCAGTGAGAAAACAGAAAAGATAAGTAAGACACATCAGATTTTACTCTAAGGTAAAATCTTTTTGTAAGGGGCATTCTTCAGATTAGGAACTCTCTCCCTCCATGGCATGGAAGGAAAGTTCTTTCCATTCTCCATAGGCCAGAGCAACAAACTGATTTCTGGCAGCCTCAATCGCATGAATCAGATTCCTGCATACCTTGCCTATGCATCCCTTGTATGCATATGTGTGTGATACGACTAACAGTGTAAAAATGTACCCCCAAAAGAGCACTGAGCCGGTTGGCATCCTTTCGGCTTTTACACTAAGCTTGTGTATAGGATTATCTATGTAGTGACAAAGAAACTTGTTAAACTATCATGTTTATCTGAATATGATCCACACATCCAGGAAGAGAGTCAGAAATGTATTATTGTGCTGTTAATTAATAGACATAATAATTTAATTATCCTGAAGTGTAGGAACCTAGAATTTAGACTGACTTCACAGCAGCTTAATAGCAAAAAGCATGAATAAGGAAGATTTTCAAAATATTGGTCCTTACAATGACCACCAACTTGTTCTTGGCTTACTTTCTAGAGATTATTATAGTCAAAAGTAATACTTTTGGCTTCACATCATGGCAGTGAGCTTTCTTCATTCTCATTGTCCTTGAAGGGATGAGTGATCAGATTTTTATTATGATCCTTATTTTATTATGATTAAATTAATTAATTAATTTTTATCATTATTTTATTATTTTTACTACCTGGCCTCAACAAAGATCCAGTAGTATAGTGGTGTCTACCTGTGAACTTGTTATAAATACAGATGCTCACGCCCTGCCCAAGGGATTCAGATGTATTGTGCTTGAGTGTGAGCCATGTGTGAATTATTATAAAGTCCTCTGCTTGATTTTGATACACGTAAAAGTTGGGAAATCACTTGAATAAAATATGAATCAGCATATGAGAAACTAGTTGCCTCTTTAACTATATTATGGCTTATTCTTAGTCAGAAAAATATTCTCCACTTATTACTTCTTGTATAATTAAAAATCATAGAGCAAAAATGAGCATTGTATTTGAGAAGAAATTTAGAAGCCATTTTCTTACACAGCAATTAAACTAATAACTAAAAAACAGCAATATTTCTAGAAACTTGGCAGTTGAAGGATTTGAAATGCTGTATTCTAAGTTTATAAATACTATGTTTTCAAGGGTGTACTGTCTAACTTGTTGTTGACGTAACAAAAGTAAGTTCAAACAAATACAGTAATTTAGAAAGTAAATTTACAGAAGAATGTAAAAGTTATTTCCTCAGTCATGCCTTGGAGAGACATGCAGTGTTGGCAGAATCTGACCTGGGACACAGAATGAGATAATATTTTGCTGACATAAAGGGCTAATTGTTTTCTCATAGCTATGTTTACAATAATGCTGATGCCAAACTATGCTGTTTAAAAAGTGGTATTCTGAATTGCTGAAAAACAAATGTGCAGCAGATGGCGATGTTACTTCTCTTACAGTTTTGCTTTGATATTTACTCTGTGCCATTCTTCCTCCTAGTGGAAGATTTAGAAAGAAACGAAGGCTGTGATGCAAGACCCTATTTTGTGACTCCATCTCTGATGAAGATCTTGCTAGAGCAAGATAAACAAACTAAAAACAAGTAGAAAAGCCAAGCAGTCATCCTACAGCGCTGTGTCACCTTTCCCTCATCTGCTGAATCTGTGCAACTCATTTCCTAAGCGCTTTGGGTTTGGAGGCACTGTCCACGACCTTGTGGGCTTGCATTTGTATGTTTTTATACCAAAGCTTACGCTGTAATATGTGAAGCCATCTGAAGTCACAAGGGAATTGCAAATAACATGGAACATTTTTATACTAAGATCTTTTGTTTTGTAATTCATTTTTAAATAGAGTGGCTTGGATGTTTTGAAAATACTACTGAGTATGTTGATATTCTTTTAACTATTAGATTGAAAAAGGATATGTTATTTAAATTGATAGCTCCTAATATATTTTTAAGATTAAAACTAGGGACTATTTCTGCAGGGAAAATTGGTAAGCAAAGTGAAAGAAACATTTTTAAAGCTGTCCCCAACTCCCTTTGACAGTAAAACAAAAACAGCCCCACTCCAGTCTTTGCTATAGAATGTTTCCTGTGAAACAAATTGCCAGTCCTCCAGCCTTTACTACTTAGTCCTCTGACAAAGTGCCTTACTGGCTGTTTAATACTACCCAGCTTTTGTGGGCAAGTTTACAAACATTGTTTTTTCTTAAAAAAAATTAAACCTGCAATGTTTAGTGATTAAAACAAGCCTTCCTGAGTTTGTTTTCCTCTTGCTCACTGACTGAAAATCACTGGTCATTTCACTATGCTTGGTATCCTGAGTCCTAGAGAGTACATGTGTGGCATAAACAATTTCCCTTGCACCTAGTGGAAATCCATGAATGTGTACTACATGTAAGACAAAACAAAAATAAAACCTGAAAGGACACTTGTTGGGTTTTTTGTTTTTTCGGGGGATGACTGTTTGTTTTTTTACTAAAAAAAAGTTTAAAATGTAATCTTTTCTATAGTAGTTATTTGAAAATATAGTAGGTATAAGAGTGCATTTCTCAGTGTTTTACACATATTGGAAAAGGAAACGTCTAGGAATTCCTAAGGGAAATTTTACCCCTCAAAGGGTGCCCATAGATATTATGTACTGAACGGCTCCATTACAAATGATTGTGTATTTTCATCAAAGCCTGTTCTATATATGTCATTTCATTTTCTAACTTTTTATATAAACCAGTTTACTAACAATGTTCATTTTTTATTGGGCCAATATAAATAGGCACAATTTCTAATTCAGTTTTAAATAATTGTACTAGTATGACTACTTTAAAGAAAGTTCATTTGGTTTGCAACTGAAGTAAGAGTCCATGAAAGTGTTCATTTAAGGAAATGTCAATCACATAGTGATAACTGATGAAAGATTTGAGAATCAGTCAACAATAAGTTGCTCTCAACTTATCTGTTACCACATTTGTTTAAATGTGACTTCAGATAATTTTATACCAAAAAAACTCACCTGAGCACATGCCAGCCTGACCTTCATAGTCAGTGTGCTTCTGCTGTGCAGAAATATTCGAAACATGTTGTCTAAATATCTTTGATAACTAAAATGTTTAATATTTCATGAAATGTGATGTTACTTCTTGTTTTAAATGTTTCTTTTTTTCTTCTAATAAAGATTTAGATAAGAAATCCTTGTCTGCCTTTTTATTTCTTTAAGCTTTTGTTTTTAAAACCTGGCATACTATTACAATTACCTTTTCCTGATCAAACGTCTAAGATTTTTTCATATCTATATTTATTTTTAAATTTCCCATTTTTCTCTATGCATTATGAAATCAAATAAATGAAATTGAGATTTTTACACAAGTAAATAAGTCAAAGTCAAATGAGTAAAGAATAGATTTTTAGGAGGGTGAATATGATGCAAATACTGTAAACACATGTAAGTAAATGGAAAAGTGATACCTGTTGAAACTGTTCAGGGAATGGAAGAAGTGGGGTAAAGGAGACTGGTGGAAGAGGTGAATTCAAGTATGATACATTTGATATATTATAATAACTTTCATAAATGGCACAATGTACACAATATACAATTTTTTTAAAAAGGATTAAAAAATAGCCTAAATTAGTTAATTGCTCTTTGTTTTAACTTGCAAAGGTCTGTTTACTTCTTCATTTGATTTTCCAATATTCATGAGAAGAAAATATCATTTTTAAGCCAGGAATAAATTTAGGGAACCTAAAAAATGTGAACACTAATTAACAGTAATTTTTTAAAGCAAGTTAAATGTTCCTATCACTAGCCTACTTTAATCTAAAAAAGCATCCTTTTTAGGTTGAATTATATGGTAAATCTTCAAAATTAATTTTCTTTTAAAATGTAATGGGTTTCTTTTCAAGATAATATAAAGCAACATTCTTTTCCTTCTCAGTGTTCTTAAAAAATATTGTAAATCTAACAAGATGCTTGTTAATATGGGTATTGAATTTTCTTATTTGAAATATAAATACAGATTGGTTTTCAGAAGAAATC